GCCTACATCTGACCTTTGGAGCCACTAGTGTGGGTCCCAAAGCTCTGGCAGCTTTGAGAGCCGATTGTTGAAATCAGACCTCCTGTATTGATGATGGTAGGCAAAAGCATTGATGGGCACAAAATCTCTGGTACAAAATGAAAGATTTGCTAAAAATTAAATAGCTTTTCATTTTCTATGGTCATAGAGGACCTTGTATAAAACTGAAGATCTTATTTAAAAACTAGTAAACTAAAGTCATTGTATTAATGTTGATTTCTTAGTTTGGGGAATAATGTTGTCATTGGATAAGAATGTGCTCTTGTTTGGGGCAGGTGCGTACAGAAGTATTAGAGGTGAAGTGTCAGGTTGCGTGCAGCCTACTTTTTAATGGTTTGGGGGGAGTGTGTTGGTGAACTCGGATCAGAGTGCATGTATGTGTGTACACTGCACTGTTTTTCAGAGTCCAGACTGCTAATTGGGACACCATAGAACCCCTATAATTTCACTTTAAACTCTTCAGAGGGTTTAAAGTTTTTTCAAGAATTTCTTTTAATCTAAGTAGCTAACAAATATTTGTGAATTAACAAATAATTAACTTGTGTTGATGTTAACCTGTGTTAAAATGGCCCAAGCCTCCCGTGTCACTCTTTGCCATGTGGGTCATAGTCATTCATAATTCACACATGCAGAAAATATCTTCATCACAGCAGCCTAACAATAGCCATATAATTCATATGCCTTAGTTGTCCAAATGGAAGTAAATAAAGTACCAGCTTTGGGTCCACTCACTGCTTCGTCTAATCAATCTACAAGCAACTGTTCAAGACATTATATGGCAAGGATGCTCATGGGAACAGGACTGTACAATTCCTTCTCTCCTGGGACACACAGATGTCAGGGAAAATACTCACTTGAAAATATTCATGAGAGAGTATAAGAAAGGGGTCTGATCTAGTCTGGAGATCAGCAAACACTTACTTGCACAAGCTAAGATTGAGAGGTTTCCAGTAGTGTACAAGGAACCCGACTCTTACTCTAAGAAATAAAATTAAGCCAGTCACATGGCCCCCACAGAGCTTGGTTAGAGAATGGCCAAACTGGCCCTCCTCCCTCTGGCCCCGAGATGCTCAGAATCAAGGTGCCAGGAGGCAGAAGAATCAGAGATGCTTATTGTCCATTTGAAAACAGAGGCCATCTATCTCCCTGTACACTTAAGCCCAAGGTCCTCGCCCAGCAACTGGTGCCCTCAGGAGAGGGACTCAGGCTTTCCTTCCTGAGATAGCTGCTTCCTCCAGGGGCTGTGTGGGAGCAGATATGATGCCTTCGACCCCTGAACCAGCAGTCAAGGGCACTTACACTTACAGAAGCAAATGCTGGAGGTGTCTTGTCTTCAGGAACTTTGGTTTGAGCCCAACAACAAAAGCACCCCCAAAGTGAGGGAGCTCTTAAGTCTGGCTACTTTCTTAGAATGATGGAGAGAACAAAAAAGACACCACAACAAAAAGGTGTGCAAATTAGTTTCTCAAATGATGTAGTGTTCAGAAACCTTTGGAGAATTAGCTCGACCCCACCCATGGAGACTGAGACTGGACAGCTACAGCCTTGAGCAGTTATCAACATCCCCCAGCGGCTTGTTAAAATAGGTTCTTGAGGCTCGGCGCCTATAGCTCAACCGGCTAAGGCGCCAGCCACGTACATCTAAGGTGGCGGGTTTGAATCCCCAGCCCGGACTCGCCAAACAACAATGACGGGGCTGCAACCAAAAAATAGCCGGGTGTTGTGGCGGGCACCTGTGGTCCCAGCTACTTGGGAGGCTGAGGCAGGAGACTCCCTTGAGCCCAGGAGTTGGAGGTTGCTGTGAGCTGTAATGCCACAGCACTCTACCCAGAAGGACAACTTGAGGCTCTGTCTCAAAAAAAAAAAAAAAAAAAAAATAGGTTGCTGAGATCCGCCCCCGACTTTCTGACTCAGCAGGTAGACAGGAGCCCAGAATTTTCATTTCTGACACGTTTCTAGATGATGTTCACGCCGATGGTCTGGAAATCCACACCATGAGAGCCACTGTCTCAGTATACTTAATTACGCGATGGTGGGTGAAATGAACATTAAGATGTAAAATTCCAGAAACATAAGACTCAAATAATTAAGTGAAGGTTTGGCTTAATGACCCCAAACATCAGTGAGGAAAATAGGAAAGATTTAGTCTTCTAAAAATACCAAACATCCAACCTTGCGGGAGATCTTAGACTTTGCTTCTCAAACCGATAAATTAGGATGGATACAAATGTGATGAGGATCAGCGAGTGTCGGAAAGTCACTAGACATTCCCCTTCCTGGGATGGCAGCAAAGCCTACCGCCCAAGCTAAGGAAATAGATTCAGGTGTGTGTGTGTGTGTGTTTGCTTGTTTAGGGTGCACAAAGAGAATTCTCCACTTGAGGCCATTTCTTTTTATTTTCCCTACTAACTAGCCAACAGACCTCTTGGACACAACTTCCCTCTGCTATCTATGTTTTTCTGGGGAAAGCAAACTAATTTTCAGTTAATATTAACTTGAAAAAAAATGAAAGGATTAATAGATAATCATAGAACAGACATCATAAAATGTGCATGTCAAACACATATTGGTCCCACAGCATGATCGCAGCTCATAGCAACCTCAAATGCTTGGGCTCCAGTGATCCTCCTGCCTCAGCCTCCTCAGTAACTGGGACTACAGGCACCTGCTACTACACCTGGCTAGTTTTTTATTTTTAGTAGACACTGGGTCTCACTCTTGCTCAGGCTGGTCTTGAACATCTGAGCACAGGAATCCACCGGTCTTTGCCTCCCAAGTGTGCTAGGATTACAGGTGTGAGCCACTGTGCCAAGCCTCAAACACATATTTTAAAACCACTATTTAAAATGATTTTTTCACTTGCTCTTCTGCTGGCAGAGAAAATTTTTTAAAACCTGACATCCCTTACTGTTGGATGTGTACAGTGAGAGAGCTGGGGGTGTAAGTGGGTCAAAGCAACTCGTTAGATAGGATAATAAGGCTTGCCACGCTCACAATTAAATGTTTTGGTTTTATTTTACATGAAAGAATATTTGGATGTTAGTTTTAATGAATTGGTTTCTTCTCTTTAAAAATACGTGGGGGTATTGATTGTTTTATCTCAGTCTTAAACATTGTTTCAGGAAAAAAAAAAACACTTATAATCGGCCAAAGAATGTAACATGTTAATAAACACAAACAATATGTATAGACCTTCTGTTGTAACATGAGGTACATAGACATGTGTCTATTACACATTAATACGCCTGCGTGGCCTTATGTTGACCCTAAGATTTGCCAGCGTTCACCACTTTCTACCTACAACGGTGGTTATTTCTTATGGTTCAAGTATTTTTTGTTCAGAAAAAAGGATAATTGGCTTTGCCTTTCCCATAAATAAATTACTTAAAATTCCTAAATACCATAACAAGGCTGCCCGTTCATCTGCTATTCCTCCGATATGCAATGTCTCCTCATTTTTCTTCTCTGTCTATTGATAAGTTCCTACAATGTCGCTTGACTCTTAGTAAATAGTGTCCAGTACTCCAAGAACAGAAAAATTGGTTTGCTTTTGCCCTGTCGGCTGTGTACGCTGTCTCTAAACAGAACCCTTTCTCTTCCCTCTTCCTAGGGCTGCGTCTGTAAAGACAAAGGCCAGTGCTTCTGTGACGGGACCAAGGGAGAGAAGGTAAAGCAAAGGCTGATGTGGCTTCATGTCCCTAAAAAGTTCATCAAGTAATTCACACCCTTTTTTCATCAGTGGCAGAAACGTTTCAGTATGCAGTTTCATTTCCCAAATCCAGTTACGAACTACTTGTATATAAACATTAACCCTAAAAAAAACAGAACGTCTAGGAAGCTTCAGATACTTTGCATAAATACCAGCAATTATTAAATTATAATTTTCTTCGTACGTAAATAGAAAGTAGCCAGCTACGGAAAGAGAAAGTTTATGAGAAGCCTCCATATGCATATATTACTTACAATGTTGCTAAACATGACAGATGAACTGAAAACAACTTAATTCATTCATTTTGATATAAACACTGAAACCCACAAGCTCCTCGCCACCCCCCCCCGCAGTATTGGTACAAGGGCGCCTCCTGGTGGAGGAATCATGCAATAGCACGATTGAGGCAAAAATTCAGCAAAGTAAAATGTAGCTCCATTGCAGAATTCAAGGGAAAAAAAGAATGCCGTGAAATCTCATTAATTCGCTCCATTAACTTGCAATTTGTGATAATTAAGACAGAGGCAGAAGTAAGGTTTTTTTTCTTTGTTTACAGAACCCTTTCCTCAGAGACACTAATTAATCGTTCAACAATATTGAAGGGTGCCTATTTAAAAATATTTTTAAGAACGCATTTTAAGCTCTGTATTCAAAACAACTTACATATGATTTACATGCTAATTATAGCAACAATTATTATATTTACTTTAAATTGTTTTGTAATTCATGAGTAGTTTGATTTAGGGTTTTTTTTCTGAAGTTATGAATATAGAATTCAAATTCCCTTTGGAAAGTACCCACTCTGGGATTCATCTTGCATTCAAGAAGCATTGAGAGAGTGAGTCCCTATTGTTTGTGAGACGGTATTCTAGGATGTGCGGGTATGTTCTCTCTGTGTAGTGAGAGGGGTCTAGCAAATTCTTTTATTCTTCATCTGGTTGAATGTGTGTGCACACACACAATGTGAAATGGCTGACTCCATCTTTTTTGTTTGTTTATTTTTAATTCGCCCATTGTGTCACTAAATT